GGAAAGCTCACTTCTGAGACATTGTGAGCGTGCCAGCATGCACGCTACTGTTGCACCGTTGGCCTCAGCTGGGAGAGGACCTTTGTCCCGCTCTAGCACTTGTCTGACTTCTGCATGAGGTCCTCACTCTTCTCCCAAGGGTTCCAAGGGGCAGTTGCAGTCCCAGTACCTTGGAGACGATGCTCATAGTCCAGGACTTCTGTTTTTGCATTCATGTCTCTACATTCTAAACTGCGAGGTTCACCTATTTAGTCATCTTTTCCCAGAGAGAGTTGAGAAATGCCCAGAGCTGAAGATGTGGCAAAATTTGACCTGTGACAGGGCACTGGGCTTGCACTGGCAGTCTGTGATTTCCGTAAGTTCCTAGCAGTTATATAAGATTATTGGTCAGAATGGAATTCTGCAGTAAATAACAATCCCAAACGCCTACTGAGAGCTGTGCACTTCCCGCCGGTCGATGCTCTTCCATGCTTTCCACGCAGGCCATCCCAGGCAGCCTCTTAAAGATGATGTGAAATAGGCGTATCTGTGACCGAAAGAGGAACGTATGAGAATCAGGGAACTTGAGGCAATTGCCCAAAGATATCCAGATAGAAGGTAAAGCAGCTTCGTCAGATGCCTCCTGTGGCCTGCCAGCCGCTGACTGGTTCTCACTGCGTGCTCTGTGAGGGGATGCGGGAGCTCTCTTGACATCCCCCTCTGGCTCCCAGCCTAGGGGAGGGGCCGCACACTTGGCATGGCTTTTCCTCATTCTTACAGTAGTGTCTAGGCACGTTCAAATCTTGATTCTGTCAATATCATCTATAAATACAGAAAGAAAACTGTTCATGTCTTCATTCACATTATTGATATAAGTCCCAACCAGATTAGTGTCTGGCAAAATCTAGTGAGAAAGGTCTTTCCTGAGGAATAATTCATTAATTCATAATTAGCAACCAGTACATTTTCACAAAGCTTTAACAATTCCTCACACCTATCTCCTCCTCGGGTATCATGGTCTCTTCCCTTGAAGAAGTTTGCGGCCTGGGCTCTGAGTTTTCCCCTGACATGGTTCTTCTTAGTCACTTGGCTTTGGCCACGCTTGGTCTGTTCAGTGACACGGTCTGGCCCCTTTGCTTTCAGGGACTTTGGGCCTCTGTTATGGTGCCAATAGCAACAAGCAAAACAGACCAGGGCCCTGTGCTCACAAGCATTCTTTTTCTTCTCTTTCTTACTGTCGTCTTCTTTCTCTTTCTCTTTTTCTCTCCTTTCTTTCTTTCTTTCTTTCTCTCTTTCTCTCTCTCTCTCTCTCTCTCTCTCTCTCTCTCTCTCTCTTTCTTTCTTTCTTTCTTTCTTTCTTTCTTTCTTTCTTTCTTTCTTTCTTTCTTTCTTTCTTTCTTTCTTTCTTTCTTTCTTTTTCTTCCCCTTTCTTCTTCTCTTTTTTAATTGCTAGAGGGCTTGTGCACTCACAAAAAGAGAGAGAAAATGCATCCCACCACTCCCCACCATGAGGCTTAGTCACCCTGCAGTCCCTTCTTCATTCTCCATCATGCCAGGATTTTGCATACACACCTGTGCCCAGCATGTTTTTCAAGCTGCCAGGACCATGGTCAGTCATATGGGATCCAGCTCCCTTCGCCACTAGGCTATAGGGCCAATTCTACATTTTTATTTTTACTTTTTTTTTTCCTAAGTTTTTGCCATAAGGCACTTGTTCTCATTGGAGAGAGACAGAAAAAGAGCGAAAGGGAAAGTGAGAAATCAACCCCAGGGAGGATGGCTATGCTGCTGTCACTCCTTCTCCATTCTTCTTCTGGGATTTTTTTTTTTTTTTTTTGGATGGAGAAGTTTTTTCCTATAGGGCGCATGTGCTCACCAGAGAGACAGAGAGAGACAGAGAGATAGAAAGAGAGAAATCACCCCCCAGGGGGATGGCC